CCTTTTTTTTTATTTATTGATTTCACTTTTTTTAGATTGGGACCAGTCCTCAAGAAATCGTCAACCTTCTATCAACAATACACAAATGTCAAGATTTGAATGAATTACTCTCTACAGTATATCCACAATTGAACATGATAGAGCCGTCGACCCCAACATTTTTAACTGAACACACAATTCTATCTACGTGTAACGATGATGTCAGTGACATTAATACTACTGCATTGAATATCTTTTCACGATGATTATATACTTATCTTGCAGCAGATAAAATGTCTGAAGATAATGAAATTGATCCTACCATTAAAAAAGATATCCTAATGAATATTTAAATTCATTGGATCCTTCTGGGCTGCCAACTTTTAAGTTCGAGTTGAAAGTGGGATGTCTTATAATATTGTTAAGAAACATTGCACCGAAAGATCAACTATGTAATGATACAAGATTGATGGTTACTAGGTGCGATACTTGCATAATTAAAGCTTAAATTTTAACTAGAGAAGAGTTTAGCTATTTGGCATTCATACCAAAGATATCTTTGATGCCATCTTCTTCAGAAATGCCTTTCCAAATGACAAGACGTCAACTTCCAGTTCGATTAGCATATGCTTTGACCAATAATAAATCTCAAGAACAATCTGTGAAATTTGTTGGGGTTGATTTGCGCATACCAGTGTTTAGCCATGGGCAATTATATGTGGCATTGTCCAGATGTAAATCCTTTGATTGTATAAGTATCCTCCTCTCTAAAGATAGTTTGGATTCTACTACAAATATTGTTTATCTTGAAGTGTTATTTTTGTGTTCAATGTAGATTAAATCACGTTTTATCAAAAGATAACCATGTAGATTTATTTCTATTGATTATATAACTTTTTATAAAATTTCAATTTAATATGGATTTTTGTAGGATTGGATCGAAAAATCTATGGAGCTTAAAAAAAGAAATACAACTAGCTTGCTTTGATGGGGATGTAATAATGTAATTTTAATCTCAAAGTGTTTTGATATGTATATTTTCAACAAATGTACTAATCTATTTTTTTTTTTTTGTTTACACAAATTACTAGATTGTTGTGCATATTCCTTATTGGGAATACATACAAGTCGATACGAAGACTTTTTGGAAAGTAATAAGGAGGAAGTTTGGGCAAACACATATTTGAAGACATGTTATTGACACATCTTTTGTAAAGCATACATATTTTGGAAAGATTTAATCCACTTTTTGTAAAGTTTTAACCCACTCTTTTAGTGTATGACAATATATTGTTTGTTTTTCTTATGTAGTTATAATTTGATTGGCAGCAGTAGCACTAACTGGTGTGTATTTTAATTTTAATTTTTTTAGATTGCAGAGCACTGGCTGATGTGCATTATTTGGTATTTAATTTTTTTTTTATATTTGATTTGTTTGGAATTGTAGAGTACAGGCTGGTATGCATTGTTTGATGTTTAATTTGCAATTTAATTTGTTGAGATTGCAGAGTACTTACTGATGTGTTTTATGTGCTATTTAGTAATTTCCTTTTAGTATAGAACGTTAACAAGTATACAATATTTTTGATTTCTATATTTTGTTCAATGTTTACAATTTTTTTTACTTGCTCTTATATTTTGATTTGTAATATTGGTGAACATTATAAATCTTATATGTTTGTTTCTTAATTTGCATTAAGGATAAGGAGAGTTGTTATTTTATTTGAGTTTTGTAGAGCGTGTAATACAAGTAAAATTGTTACAAGTTCTCTAAAAAGAAAAATATTTCAATATATTTTTTTCAGTATCCTCATCAAAAAATGACACAAACTTCATAAATTTCAACATGATACATATAAATTACAATTACATTTTGATCATAATATTATTTACACCATGCCTTTAGGTATGGGCATACACTAATACAATAATAATGCAATAAGCTAAAGAAGTTGACAAAAGCCCCTTTTGAGGCCAAAGTTATTAAGTGACAAAAGCCTCTTTGAAGAGACTAGAGCCAACCACATTGGGGTAAGAGGAACACAATCATTGCCAAGGACTCAAGCCACTGGGATGAAAGGAACACAATCACACATTGGGGGTGAGAGGAACATAGTGAGGTGTTTAGTCTCACTGTGGCTTTTGTCAAATTCAATCCTCGGGGGTCAAAGGAACACTGTTATTGCCAAGGATCCAAGCCATTGGGGTGAAAGGAACACAGTCACTACCAATTATTCAAGCCATTGAGGTGAAAGGAACACAGTAAAAAAAGAAAACATCACCCCAAAAAGGGTCATTAAAAAAAAAAGGAAAAAGTAAAGAGGCCGAAAGTAACTAAGGCTAAGAAATAATCCCATCGAGGATCTAAAGAGGGTCTAGATAAAAGTGTCAAGTTATCGTAACTTGCATAGTTAAGAAAATTCAGTTGTGCAAATCATGATGGGACATTTGTTGGCACATAAATTTCAACTAAATTTATGTTAAGATTTCAAATACGATCAATCAATTAATAACATGTATAGGGCCTATGATACCAATGTTGTAGCTAATCACTTCCTAAAATGATCAATATGATCTATTAAAGTGCATAAATAAAACAACATCGTATCTCAGCGACGTTATTCAAGATACTCAAATGACACGTAGATCTTACAAAAGATGACACCTGTAGAGTCTACAGTAAGGACACCACACAAGACGAAATCCACGGGATCAATACGGTTAATCTGATATTCGATTAATCAAATATGATTACACCTAAATTCAAATGGAGTTATCATTCAATTTGAAATTCAAATTGAAGATGAGGCACTCTTATCACATGGATAGCCCTTTATAAATATGAGGACCATCACACAAGAGAAGAGATCGAAAATCAAAAGTCAGAAGATTAGAGAGAGAGAGAGAGAGAGAGAGAGAGAGAGAGAAATCAAGAGTTAAAGAAGTCTTTACAAGAAAGAAGAGAAGAAACAAGAGAACTCAAAAGCCTACACTACACTGCAAACATGACAAGCAATAGGTAAAGGGTTACAAACCCAACGATTGTATATTGTATCTATAGGTTCTAAATCTCTACAATTTTAATAAAATATTTCTTTTCCTTAATTTGTCTGCTATTATTGTTTTTTATTCTTCATCAATTGAAGGTTTTATTTAATTAAAATGTGTAATTAACGATCTAAAACATAGATCGGAAATAGGAACTTACTATTCAAATAATCAATATTGTTTAGGCAAATAACTAAACAGTGGACATTTGTAACATGAACTTTGAAATGTATTAAAACATTTCACGTTTCAAAATTTGAGTCGACATACCCAGAAAATTTTTGCAACTCTAAATCCTCCAAACCCAACTTTAACATAACACAAGAACAAATTCAAGATTCAAACATTGCAATAGTGAATAGAACATAGTAGTATTCAATAAATAGGGAGAAAAAAAAAATGAGGCAACACTGAAAAAAATTTCACTGCATATCATTAAAATTAAAAACCGTAAAAACATCATGTAATAGAATCATAATTCCAATCGAAAATTACCCAGAAATTTTGAAAATATATATATACAAACTTGAGAGTGAATCGTGTAAAGCCTTCAAAACTCTAGAAATCAAGAGTGTAGGAAGAATTTTTACTATTTGACTTCAAATTCCAAACTTCAGATTTCAGAAAGCTCAGACTTTAGATTTCTTTAGATTTCAATTCATTGATTTTTGCCTCAAATTTCAGTTCATCAATTGTTGCCTCAGACTTTGATTCTTGATCACGTTCAGTTCATCAATTGTTGCCTTCATCAATTCGATCACACAGAGAGAGAGATTGTTGCCTTCATCAATTCGATCATAGATAGAGAAAGAAGGGGTGGAAATTCCTGACACGACACGATAACACGAACTTGAACCGTACACAAAGTTAGCAGGTTAGAGTTGAATATTTTTTGACACGAACACATATATGACACGACCTGTAAATCTATATAAATTATGACTCAAAAAGTAAAATTATGATATTGTTTTTAAGAGAATTCTATTGTACACACTTAATAGCATATGCACCCTTAATTACATTATTTTCTTCTTTAATTATGATTAATTTTTTTTAATTATAACATTATTTAAAGATATTTAATTATGGCCTTTTCATATTTAATTATAATTTTTTTAATTATAATTAAAAAAATAGAATTATATAATATTTCTCTTTTAAAACGTGTGTACTATCATGTTATTTTTTTCTTTTTTTTTAAGGGTAAATTATGCAAATAGTCCTTATACTTTACACAATATGTCAATTTGGTCCCTATAATTTTAATAATTTGCTCGATTTTGTCCCTTAATTTTACGAATTGTGTCATTTTAGTCCAATAAATAACGTTTGTTAAATTAATTTAGCGGAAGGTCAAATAATGTGTTAATTTGGTCCATGTACTTTACACGATGTGTCAATTTGGTCATTGTAGTTTCAATTTTCTCGAATTTAACAACGTTTGAATTGATACATTGTGAAAAATATAGGGACCAAATTGACACATTATTTGATTTTTCATTAAATTAACTTAACAACCGTTATTTATTAAATAAAATGACACAATTCAATAAATTAAGGAACAAAATCAAATAAATTAAAATTATAAAAACTAAATTAACACATCATATAAAATAGAGGGACTATTTACATAATTTTTTCTTTTGTTAATTATGAGAGGCATATCATACAGACCATTTAGGCTTGGTTTGGGAAGTGGGTTGGCTTTTTGGCTTTTTTGGCTATTTTAGCCTGGGCTTAAAAGCTTGGTTTGGGAAGGGTTTTTTGGCTTTTTGACTTTTTTGAATTTTTTTGTGAGAGAAGAATGTAATGATTATAAATTGGATGTGATGTTTTATTTATTATAGCTAAAATAACTTATTTTATTTTTTATAACTAAAATAACCAAAAAAAACCTGCAAACCCACTTGCCAAACACAGTTAGTCTTTCCCGTCATCCTATACCACTGCACTTTTTAAAGAAAAAGGCAACAGCAATTGTCTGCCTTTATCGTATCACCATGGGCATATAGCACAGCACTTCCTATAGAAAAAACCAAAAAAGGAACGATTCCCAATTCAGGCTCTTCACTAGCTTCCAATTTTCAATTGTTCCATTACATGTCATGCACTGCACATTCTAAACAAAAAAACAAACAGAAAAGGAGCGTTTCCCAACTCAGACTCTTCAATGACTTCTAATTTTCGATTCTGTAATACGATCTGCGTTTTTAGTTTCAATGTTGGAGTTCTTTGATTTTGTTTGGTGGAAGCCTCATTATATTCCATGTGTGTATTTTTCAATTATCCCTGTTGATTTTCTATTCCATTAATGATGTTGGGTTTTTCTATGTTCAAATTCAGATTGAGGAATAAATTGTAGGGGATCCCAAAATCCAACAGAAGCTTCAGTTTTTCATAGATCTTGGACTTGGTTCTCCGGCTTTTCAGGTCAAAAACATTCTACATGGTTCAGTAAAACCTTTTTTTTCTTCATTATTTTATCATAATTGTTGCATTGGCATATAATTTCATTGTCTTCATCAAGCGTTGCCACATATAGAATTCAATCCCCAATAGATACCTCCATAGCAACATATGATAAACCCAAAAGTACCCATTGGATCAATTTAGAGTTCCAACAACAATGACTGCTCTGTGAGGTAGATCAATTAACGAGTTGCAGCGGCAACAATTCCTATCTCCTTTGCGACATCTATTGATCTACCTCACAGAGGTTGTGAAATTTACCAAGAACGTCTGCAAAAAATATTGATGAAAAACAGAGGTTGTTTGGTGGAATTGTGGGTATGGAGAGGTAGTGGTAGTGAGGTCTCCCATTGAGATTTTGAAACTGTAGGAAGACGGGAATGGATGAGTTGCAGTGGAGAGGATTGTGGGAGTGGATGGGATATGGCTGAAAAAGGGCCAGTGGACAGTGAGGTATGTCTATGGAGGTGGTTGGCTCTTCTTCCTCTTTATCTATTATTCTTCAACACCCATTTATCTAACCACCAATCGTTGAACACTCATTTATCTCCTTCAAAGCCCACCTGGAACAAAGGTGTCATGATTCCTCCCTTGTGAGTGCATTTTCCCCTATTAATTAATTAGCGGGACTTGCGCGTAGGTTCTAATAGGTAGACTTATTGTCCAATACGTTCTATAATAATTAATGGCGCTCTTCATTAAACACTATAAAAAAAAGTCACTAATTGTTAATTTTCAGCAATAGTTTGAAAATTGTCACAAAAAATGTCACTAATAATTATAAGTTTTAGCGGCAATTTAAAAAAATTCTCATAAAAAAAAAACTACTAATTTTCAACTTTCAGTAATAATTTGAAAATTTTGTCACAGAAATTGTAAATTTTAGCGATAATTTATAAAAACCGTGACAAAAACAGTCACTAATTGTCAATTTTTAGCGACATGCCAAAAATCGTCACAAAAAATTATTTTTAGCGAATTAGCACTTATTTTCAATAGGATTTGATAGGAATTAAGTCCAGTTATTAGGACTTATTGGTAGTTTACCCTCATTAATAAGTAAGAGGGTTAAGGGGTCTCAATCCAGGCAAAATTGGAGTTTGAGTGTGTATTTGTGAGTGGTGTGGTAAGAAATCTTCATGGTTTTGGCTATAAAAGAGGAGATGGTAAGATAGAAGAAAAAGGAAAGAGAGATGTATAGAAGGGTAAAGTTGGCATTTAAAGAATTATTTATGTTGATGTCATGTTTTTCCATCCAAGAAGTAGACGGTTTACTAATGATTGGGCTAAATTGTTACACAATCTTTTAAAACAATCACTGTGATTTTTCAGAAAAATAGAGGAGGTGTCAGTGTAATTGACCCTTAATCTTTTTCTTAATCTGTCATTTTTTCTCTCTTCCTAGTTTCTTGTAATTGTTCTGGGCCGGATTAGTTTCTATGGGTAGGAGAGTAGGATTACTCCTTCAAAGTGCATGACAGAGATGACCCAACTGGAAATTATGTTGATTTTTTCCCCTCTTTAAGATCTAATTATGCAGTTGGGTGAAAGAATGAATTTTACAAGTATCAAGTTTTTTCTCATAACGGGCATTAGCTAGTGTGCCTTGCACGCGGCCAGCTCACTAGTAATCTATCTACCCATCTATCTATATATATGTTTGTATTCATTTGGTCCTCCCATCAGCCTGAAGGTGAAGCTCTTAGGGGAGTCCTGTTAAATAATGTCAACTAGATCCAGTGAAATATTCTGTCAAAGCAAACACAGCCTAGCCTACTGCAGAAACCCTGATATTTCTCTGTTTTGCTACCGGCAATCCTTTTTCTTTTGGTATTCCTTAAGCTTCTAATTTTAACAACATTATGTGGCATTATTTTCATCTACAAAGCTTTTCCCACATCCTGATAAATTATGTAGTTCAAGCAAGTTTTCTTCATTCCAACAAGTAGGTTTTCTTACCATCTACTTGTGTTTTTTTGTTTTAATTATTTTTTCTTGTTGGGTATGGCAGTTAAGGTCGAAAATGAGTGAGATCCATGGGAACCCAATTGTTGATAGCACTGGGCAGCTTGCTAAAGCTTGTAACAACAATCAAGGTATCAATCTAAGTTTTGCTGTTAAAAATTCTGCAACTCCATAATCTATTTGATGCCGCATATTTATTTATTCATTTATTATATTTTGGTTTTATTTCTTCTTGCATATGTTGAGAAAGAGAAAGACAGACACTTGTATACTGAATACAATGGGAGCTGTGATTGGAGTTTTTCCCTCCCAAATAATAGGAAACCACGTTGTCCGTTTCTTTGTTATTGGCAATAAGTTTTCGGTCATACTAATGATAGTCTTATGCTATCAATAAGAAATGAAAAAAGAATTTTTTTTTATAATTTCAATATTTATTTTTATATATTTTTAACACTTCTGCAAATTTCAACACACTGTGTACTTATATCTATACATTTTTTACAAACAAATCAAGACTTAGCATTTTCCATAATTTTTTAGGTTCAGTTTGTTTTGGAAGAAATATATATATATATATATATATTACGTTTGGTACATAGAAAAGGAATGAATAAAAAATGGTTTTCTTAATTTACGAAAAGCAAGTCTACCTTGGTTGCAGCTTTTTTCCTATTTTGAAAATGTGATTTTTCTAAAGTCTTACCAATGTATTTTTTTTTCTTTTTCTTTTTAATTTTTATTCTATAAACAACAAAAAGAAATTTATTAAACAAAAGGGGAAAAAATACAAAGGAGGACAAGAAGTTCTCTATAATTAAACAAGTATCTATGAGCAAAGCTAAAACAAACCAAGAAATATAAATCGCACAAAAACACCCAGTCTCTAGTACATACTACTATCACCACCACTTTACCACTATTGTTTGTTGACTCGAATTCAACACACTCTACCCATCCCATACAGTCCTTATTTATACATGAAATGGTAGACCCAAAGGCAAAATCTACATAGCCACCAACAAGATCAACCAGACAACAAGCACCCTACAACAGAATAGTTTGGTTAGCATGTGATCTTCCCAAGTTAGCTGCCACTTTGACTTTCAGGCCATCATTTGGCTGGGAGAAATTGAGCCTACAAACAAAAAATCTTTACATTGGCGAGGATTATCCATCCAACCTATTGATTGATTAATGCTCACATGCACCCAAAGATGCTCAGTTCTAAGAGATGTTGACCAAGTTCAAACAATGTTGCAACTTGATCCCAGATACCACTTTAGTTAGTATATCAGCTGGATTATCTGCAATACCAATCTTCTAAAGCAAATTATCCCTCCATTCACAATTTCTTGAATGACACGGAAACAAACATCAATGTGCTTGGTGTGGGAATGATGAACCTAGTTTTTGCTAAATAAATGGCACTCTGATTGTTGCAGTAGACCTCAACGTGCTCCTAAACAATCCCCAATCAACCTATGTAGCCAAATGGCCTCCTTAAAGGTTTATGTCACTACCATGTACTCTACCACTGTAGTAGACAAAGCCACCATTAATGTTAGCATCCAACTCATCGGCCCTTTAGTAAGAGTAATGACATTCCCTGTAGTCGACTAGCGATTATCCAAATCACCAGCATCGTTTGAATCTATGTATCCAACCAAATTTTGGCCAGTTCTATTATCTCTCTTGAACTTCAAACCAACATCAACCGTGCCATGAATGTATCATAAGATCCATTTCATTGCCTGCCAGTGACCTTTCCCTAAACCATGCATATACCTATGCACTATACTAACAACATGTGAAATGTGAAGTCTTGTACAAACCATAATATACATTAGGGCACCGAATACATTTGCATACAAAATCTAAGCCATATGCTTGCATTCATCTTTTGTGTGTGGAGACATCGACGCACTAAGCTTAAAATGGGGGGCCAATAGTGTGCTTACAAGCTTTGTTTGCCCATCTACTACAAGCCTGTGTAATACCTTCTTCAAGTACCGTGTTTGTGTCAAACAAACTATGCCCTTCTTTTTGTCTCTCGTAATCTCTATTATAAGGATTTTCTTTGCTTCTCCGAGATCCTTCATTTCAAACTCACCCTTTGATTGTGCCTTCAGTATGTCAATAGTCAGTCAATCTCCACCTTGCTCTTAGATGCAATTAGCATGCCATCCACATATAAGAGCAAATAGATGAATGAACCATTAGGAAGCTTAGGGAAATATACACAATGATCAAAATGACTTCTTGTGTACCTTTGTTTTGTCACAAACCGATCAAATTGCTTGTACTACTATCTTGGAGACTGCTTGAAATCATACAACGATTTTTTTTAGCTTGCAGGTCCAATTCTCCTTTCTAGTGACTTTAAACCATCTGGCTGGGACATGTATATCTATTCCTCCAAATCTCCATGTAAGAAAGCAGTTTTGACGTCGAGTTGGGCTAGCTCAAGATCAAAATGGGCAACTAAAGCTAGCAGTATATGAATAGACACGTGCTGAATGACAGGCAACAATACCTCATTGATCTCGTGTGAATGAAGGGGATATTCTATTTTAGAAGGTTGGTACTGCAAATAATCCTGCTGATATGCTCACTAAAGTGGTAATTGGGATCAAGTTCCAACATTGTTTGAACTTGGTCAACGTCTCTCGGAATTAAGCACCTTTGGGTGCATGGCAACGTTGATCGATCACTAGGTTGGATGGAGAATCCTCGCCAAGGTAGAGATTTGTTGTTTGGTGGTTTAGTTTCTCCCAACCGAATGATGGCATGAAAGTCAAAGTGGCTGCCGACTTGGGTATACATGCCACTATCTACCACCAACACCGCTATCATATTCTATACATGCCACTATCTACCACCAACACCACTATCATATTCTATACATACCACTATCTACCACCAACACCACTATCATATTATATACATGAACACAATTTCCAGCAAGTTTTTCCCAACCGAATGGTGGCATGAAAGTCAAAGTGGCTGCCGACTTGGGAAGATGATATGCTAGTCAATCTTGGGGGCCCTTGTTGGTGGTTGTGCTGACTTTGGCTCTGCCATTTCATGTATAAAATAGGGAGTGTATGCGATGGGTTAAGTGTAGAATTTGAGTGTGTAGAGGCAAGAGAGTGAGGTGTGGTACTGGGTTTGTAAGGGGTTTGGGTGAGTGAAACACAACGTTGTAATTTTCTTTCCAAATATAGTGAAATCCACCGACTGTGGACGTAGGTACATTGCCGAACCATGTAAATCTTGTCTCTTTTTTGTGTATTGGTATTTGTTTCTGGACCCTGGGCATAACAACCACCACCACCCTACCGCCATTACCCCCACTCCCCACCCTGTTGTCACCCCATCACTGCAACCACCCTGCCACCACTGCCACGATTACCACTAACACATTAATTTCAAGATTGCAACTAAACACAGGAAGACATTTTTTAACAAAATAAATATTTTTTGGAAAATCTTTTCTGTAGGAAAATGTTTTTGTCAAAATAAATGCACCATTAAAGTATAATATTTAGGCCTTCTTTCTGTTATTGTAATGTCCTTCTAATAATACCTTTTGTGTTTTTCCCTTTCATTTGCCAAGATTAACCTTCATTTTCAACAATGCCAGTCTATATTCTCCTAAATCATTAGTATTGACACAATTATACATGTTCAATTTATAACTACAGTTTCTGCAAGTTCTGTTTTCTTGTATTGTTACCTAATTTTAAAACAGAATCAAGTTTGGGAAAGATTTCAATCTTGGATAACCGTGTGTATTATTTTACTTAATGGTATTTTACTTGTAAATACTATTTGAGATGTCTGATGCTTTTTTGCTAGTCTGTTTGAGGTTTTGTTTGTACTTATTTCCTGCATTGTCTTTATTGTCTGGCCTTCAAAACTCCATTCAAGCAGTTTTGACCAGTGAAAAAGAGACAGAAGGTTCTTCTGGGAATGGGGGATTCATACGCAGAAAATTAAATAAAGTGGTTCTAGCCTATAGTGGTGGCTTAGATACCTCAGTCATTGTGCCATGGTTAAGGTATGCTCTTCTTCTTCTTTTAATTTGAATATGGCCAAGGCATGTATACTGTGGTGTGTTGTACCTGAAAAACATCTTTATTTACAAACACGCCAATCTATTTTTCCAAAGTGCACCTACCACACTAAGAGGTGTGGTATATTCATCTTTAAATAGTGCTGATTTCTAATTCATTGGATGAGACATGCAAGCACATGGCATGTTCTGGGTAAAATTTCTGATGTAAAGTCAAGTTTACGGAGTAGCACTCCACTGTTTAAAGAGGGTGGCCTTTGGGGGGAAATGCTTGTGCATTCTTCAGTTTAATGCTGCAAACAGCATTTCTGTTGATCTCATGTTCATTCCTGTGACATATTCCAATTTGCGTATTGCAGGGAGAATTATGGCTGTGAAGTTGTTTGCTTCACTGCAGACGTTGGCCAAGTATGCTGTAATTTGAAACATTGAACTTTTTATTTAATGTCTATTTGTTGTTGAATTCTGTTAATAAAAAGCAGTTTAAGCTGAGGTGATATTCTTTTGTTTGTACAAGAGCATGATGAACTCCTACTGGTCCCTCCTTGTTTTACCACTTGCTTGTTACCAAATGCTAAATTTTCACAGGGTATTAGTGAATTGGAAGGTTTAGAAGCGAAGGCTAAGGCAAGTGGAGCTTGTCAATTAGTTGTGAAGGATTTGAAGGAGGAATTTGTGAGAGACTACATATTTCCTTGTTTGCGAGCTGGCGCAATCTATGAAAGGAAGTACCTGCTGGGGACCTCAATGGCCCGGCCTGTTATTGCAAAGGTAAGCAGCAAGAATGAATTAAACAATAAGATGAATGAGGAGTGATATGTAATTGCTTCTGTTAACTATTGTTTACCTGGAAGTATGACTTCATTTTTTAAGCTTTCCTCATTTAACACTTTCTGCACTTCTACTTGGGCATAAGCCACATACCTATACCCCTCCGTCCACTTCTTGTGCATGCACTTCCGCATGCAAAAAGATAATACGCATGGCTGTGGAAGCGATTCTGCTTTATTATTGTTCATTCAGGCAATTGAGGAAGCTTTACCAACCCAAAAAAATTTAGGAAAGAACTCCTGTAATTGATGCCTTCTCCCATTCTCCTATTCTTCTCTTCACCTTCAAGTATGAACTTTCTCCATAATCTCTAAATGCCCTACATCATAATTATTGATGAATTAAAGTGCCCATAGTTGTATGTGCTATTTCATTGGTTCAAACCTGCCATATCTGTTTTTATTTGAAATTTTAATTTTTTGGATTGTTTTTCAGAAGAACTAAGGCCTTGTTTGTATGTTCAATAGCACCCATTTTAGTAATTACATGCATTTCTATTCATGGGAATTAATTTTAATCACTCATGATAATGTGGCTGAAAATTTGGCTCTTTGCCACGTGATATTATGCCTCAGATGAATGCAGCACCCTTGTAACAAATGGGTCCTTCAGTTGAATTCAGATAGACTTAATAGAAACCTACTGTAATTTAAGAGAATACAAAGCTTGGGTGATGATTATGATATCATCACTTTTTATATTAATCAATCAACTGTTACAAAAAGAAGCCCTAAGGCACTTATTAAGGACTCACCTTTTATATTGATTGATTGATTGATTGACTGATTAAGGAATCATAATCAATCGCAATTTAATGTAAGTTTTCTGAAGATAATTAACTCATATATTCAATATGTAAAATTCAAAGAGTACAACCGATATATATAGCAATCCTAAACCTAGTCTAAAATAGGAAATGACCCTATATAATCAATCTAATATGCACATAATCAACCTAAAATATATATTTTCATAATCGGAATATTCTCACACACCCGCTCAAACTCAAGGTGTTTAAGCAGAAAACACTGAGAGTTTGCCAAGAAGAAACTAAAAGCGAGCAGTGGTGTGAGTCTTGGTAAAGAAATCAGCAAGTGGCAACGCCGAAGAGACAAAAGGAAGCGAGATAGAGCCAGACTGCAGATGTTGACAGACAAAATGACAATCAATCTCAATGTGCTTTGTCCGCTCATGAAAGACAATGTAATGGGCAATCTGAATAGCACTGCGGTTGTCACAGTAAAGGGATGTTGGAGAAGACCGAGGGACACCCAAATCAGTCAAGAGACGACTAAGCCAAACAATCTTAGCAGTGGCATGAGCCCTAGCATGGTACTCAGCCTCGGTAGTGGAATGTGCAACAACAGTCTGTTTCTTGCTCTTCCAAGAAATTAAGGAATCACCAAGAAACATGCAGAAGCTAGAAGTGGATTTGCGATTAGTGACATCACCAGCCCAATCAGAATCAACATAAGTCACAAGTCCAAAGAGGAAATAGAAGCCAACAGTAAACCCTGAAAGATAGTATCCTGGAGATAGCAAAAAATCCGAACCAAAATAGCCCAATGTGCAGAGCAAGGAGTAGAAACAAACTGGCTAATCACATGAACAGCATAGGCAAGATCAGGATGAGTAACCATTAGATAGAGCGAGCAACCCACAAGCTCTCGATATAAAGTAGGATCATCCAATGGGACACCATCAGTAGAGTTGAGCTTCACATTAAGCTCAATGGGTGTATCAAAAATCTTAGTATTAGTAAGACCAACACACTGAATGACCTCATTGGCATACTTAGCCTGGGATAGAAAATAGCCCTTTGGAGAATAAGCAATCTTAATACTGAGAAAATACCGCAAAGAACCGAGATCCTTCATTTCGAAGGTGTGGAAGAGATGCTGTTTGGCCTCAGAGATAGCAAAAGAGTCATAACTACTGATGATGATGTCATCCACATATAGTAAGAGAGCAACAAAGCCAGCCGAGGTATGTCTCAGAAACAAAACAAAGTCGGAGGTAGAAGGGTGAAATCCAAGCTTGGTAACAGCAGTCTAAAAGAGATCATACCAAGCACGAGGAGATTGCTTCAAAACATAGAAAGCACGCCAAAGTCGGTAAACCGGCCCAGATGAATGAGGAAAGGCCAAGAGGTAGGCGCATGTAGATCTCCTCAGTGAGATGATCATTAAGAAAAGCATTCTTAACATCCATCTGATAGAGAGGCCAATGTCGAACAGCAGCAACAAAAATCAAAGTACGGACAGTAATCATCTTGGCAACAAGGGCAAAGGTCTCATAATCAATACCATACTCCTGCGAGAAACCCTTGGCAACCAACCAAGCTTTATATCGCTCGAGAGAACCATCAGAATGGGTCTTGACTTTATAAACCCATTTGCAACCAACCAGATTCTTGCCAACAGGCAAGGGAACCAATGTCCAAGTGTTAGTCTTCAGCAAGGCAAACAACTCATCCTCCATAGTTTGTATCCAATTCGGATCCTGACAGGCCTTCTTGTAAGTTTGAGGTTCTGTAAAAGAATGAATAGTAGACAAAAAAATACGATAGGAAGCAGAAAAACATGTATTAGACCAACGCAACCTGTTTGGAGGACGATGCTCTTGAGTAGGAAATCGGTGAGTAGGATCAGAGTTTTCAAAAGCAGAAGGAGGAGTAACTGGAGCTGAGACAACTGGTGGAGGAGGAGCCTTGCGACAAGAATAGACTAACAACAGAGGAGGAGAAGTGGCCAGAGGTGAAGTAGGAATAGCCTTGGGGGAGTCAGTGGAAAGATACTCAACAGAAGGGGTGGAAGGTGGAGAAGACGAAACAAGCTCAGGAGAGACAGTGGAGATGTATACAGTACCGCAAAAGGAAATGGGTCAATGTGAACCAAATCCTCCTTGAAAACTGGAGCAGTGACAGAAGGAAGCTGAAAGTAAGGCAGACGTTCGAGAAAAGAAACATGACGGGAGATATAAAGATGACGAAAAACAGAGTCGTAACACCAATTGCTTTTCTGAGTAGGACGACTATAACCCAAAAAGACACATAGGACAGACCGGGCACTAAGTTTTGTTCGATTTTTATGGGGAAGAAGGACAAAACAAGCAGACCCAAACACACGAAGGAAGGAGTAATTGGGAAGGTGAGAAAACAGAGCCTCATAAGAAGACCGACCAAAAAGAAGAGGAGTAGGCATATGGTTGAGAAGAAAAGCAGCAATAAAAACTGCTTCTCCCCAAAGCGGAGCTAGGACTGAGGCAGAGAGAAGAACAGATCTAGCTATCTCAGGGAGATGACAATGTTTACGCTCAGCTCGACCATTTTGGACAGGTATATCAGTACAGAAAGTTTGGTGAATGGTAACCAAATTGGCTAAATACTCACAGAACTCATTTTTAAAATATTCCACACCCAAGTCAGATCGTAACACTTTAATTGTAGACCCAAACTGAGTAGTGATCATAGACTGAAAGGTACGGTATATTTGATAGACAGACTTATGAGTCATAAGATATACCTAAGTGTAACGGGTGCAGTCATCAACAAATGACACAGTATGCATAACCCCCTTTGGTGAGAACAGGAGAAAGGGTCCCAAATATCAGTATGAACTAAAGAAACCGGTATATCAGATATGGAAGTACTTTTACGAAAGATAAGGCTATCATTTTGGCAAGCTTACACCCCTGACACTCAGTAAGTTCACTAGGAGAAACTTTACCCAATATACCAGACTGAGCTAAAGACTGTAAGCGGTCAGCAGACAAATGCCTTAATCTAGAATGCCACAAGTAGAAAGGACTAGACACAGAATCTAACTGAAAAGTGGAAAAGGCAGTCGAAGAGGGTGCCATAGGTAGATGTAGGATCTCCACCACATAGAGGTCTCCAACTCTACAGCCAATCTCAATCTGTTGCTTAGACATCCGATCCTGCACAGAATAGATAGAAGAAGATAAGACAATATCAAAATCGGAGGAATCAAGCTGACTGATAGATAATAAACTGACAGATAATTGAGGAACAAGAAAGACAGATGGAATAGAGATAGCAGACATAGCAAATGGTAACACAGACCCAACAGATGTAATAAGCATACCAAACCCAATAGCAGCGTTAACAGTAATAGAAGGAGGGGGAGTACAATTTTAAAGTAAGAAAAGATATGGAGTCATATGATAAGAAGCACCAGAGTAAAAAATCTAGACAGACGAAAAGATACCTGAAGAAGTCCCAAGCAAACCTGAACGAAGAGAGGAAACAATGGAGACAGTCAGGGAGGGTTAGGAGGTAGACAGTGTATGCTGAAGCTGAGTAATCTGAGCTCTCAAGGAAGCTAAGTCAAGATCAAGAGCTGGAGTAGATGCAGTAGAACCGGCGGAAGCTTGAAAATTACTCAGAGGAGAAAGGCAAAACTGGGTCCGACATTGCTGAGAAGACAAGTCAGACATGCATCCCTTCTTGGGATAGTGATACTTCCAATGGCCCCTCTGATGGCAAAAGGCACACGCATCCGAAGCCAAAGACATCTACTAACCAGAAAACTGAACAAAATAGAGCAAAATAGCCAAATCAAAAGGTCAAGTCTAAGAAAAGTGAGGGGTCAAACTGTAATAACCCGAAAATTAATATCACAAGTGAATTGTCGTGGGCTAGACCATAGAAGCAAAGAACCAGAGAAGACAAACCAGCAATCAGCGAAGACGAATTAGAGAACAATCAGAGAGCTTTGCAATGCGAACCAAAAGAGTTACTCACTTAGATGACCAGTCGCGAAGCAGAAGGCGAGTCACGAGAGAATCAGTCCAAGTTTAATAATCAATGAATTTTTGGGGTCAAAGTGTAAATACTAGCAAATCAGTTATATGTATCAATACCAGGACTGATTGCAAACCAGAGAAGCTTCAAAAGACCAGGATGGAGTCGTGATGGC